TCGTCGTCGGCGTCGTCGTCCTCGTCGTCGTCGGCGTCGCCGTCTCCGTCGCCGTCGTCGTCGCGCGGGGGGGCGGCAGGCGGGGCGGCAGCAACCAGAAGCGTTTAAAGCCCCCCCCCCCTTCCACAGAAGCGCGCGCCACTGCGCCCCGAGGCGCCTCGGCGCCGCTCCGCGCTGCGCTGCGCGCGGGGGCGCCGCCCGCGCGCTGGAGGACGCGCTCGCCCGCGAGCGGTTTGCCGGAAGCGCCTGGGCGATCACGGAAAGCGGCCCATTCCTTCGACGTCAGCTGCCTCGGGGAGCACCGCCCATTCGACTGGCGGGTGATGGCGCACTCCTTCGGGCGACGCCGAGCGATGTGCAAGCTCTTTTCGCCGCCCCTGGCGGGGGGAGAACAGCGGTGCGAAGTGGGCGGGCGAGGGGGCGCGGACAGGAGATGGGCAGGGGGGGGGGGGGGGGCGGGGCCGAGGAGGGCGCCTTTTCTTCGCGCCCAGGTATTCTACGAACCGCGCCTCCTCCCCGGCGGCGCCGTCTCCGCCTTTGCCCAGTCCGAAAGCCCCTTCGTCCGCGTCGTGCGCGGCGAGGGCTGGCGGCCCCCCCTCGATGTGGACGTCGGCCTGCTTGTCGCTGACGTATGACTGGATAGCCCCGTGCCGGCTCTGGCGCGCTGGTTGCGCGACCCGGCTCGTCGGGCCTCTGCAGAACAACGGGGCGAGGGAGATGGCAGCGCCCCGCGCGGCCAGCACGGGGGCGACGGCCTGAGGGCGCAAGTCTGTCTGCGTCTTGATGAGAATCGAGTCCGCCTGGGGAGGGGTGAATCTCTTGCACTTGCGACGCGTATATCTGCAAGGGCACTTGCCGCGGCACTTCCGCAAGTCGGTCGCCCCGCCAATCCTGCAGAAAGGGCAGCAGAGAGGCGCGTCCTGGAATTCGAGCTCGAGCAGGTGAAGGATCAAGGACTTCTCACCCGCGCCGGCCAAGTCGCCCACCGTGGCCCCAGGGTTGCTGGAGAGGACGTCGCGGGTCCACTTCTTCGTTTCCTGGGGCGGCTTGAGTTCCGGCGAGCACGGGGCCGCCCTGGCGGAGGCTTGCTTCGAGACGGACGTGGTGGGGCCATGCTTCTTGGCGGGCTTGGCGGAGCCCTGCTTGGCGACAGACTTGGCGGAACCCTGCTCCGTGACGGACTTGTGGGTCTTCTTCGTCGACCCTTGGTGCAGAGGGCCGCGTTTCGGCGCCGCCCCTCGCGCGGGGCGGCCCTTCTGACTCCGGGGCCATTGCCGGGCGGCCGCCAGGGGGGGGGGGGGGGGGCGAGCCCTTGCCCATCCCGGTGGAGAATGGAAGCAGACGCGCGCGTTTGAGCGCAAGAGCGCAAGAGGGGAAAGCGGCAGGGGGCGCGAGAGGGGGGGCAGGGTGGGGCCGTTGAAAGCAGCGCGGCGCCCCCGCCGCGTGCCGCTGAAGCGTCCGGGAACAGACGCGACGCTCGAGGTGGCCCGGCGCTCTGAGCGATTCCGTGTCACGCGCCGTGCCCCCTCAGAGTTTCCGGCCCCCGCCCTCCGGCCAGCGCCCTCGAGGGGCCAGGCGAAGCAGGGGTCGGAAAAACGCGGGGCGCACAGGGGGCTGCGACGGATCGCGCGGAGGGGAAGCAGGAAGCGGGCCCACTCGGCCATTCGAGCGTCGACCCTCTGGAGGAGCCATTCGCGCTCAGGGAAGTTCTCGCGACCCCCGGGCCCGGGCGCGCGCCCGCGCCAGCGGCGCGGGGGGCCCAGCGCAGCCGAGGAGCGACCGCGCCTGGCGCGCGACCGCAGGCCGCGGCGCCCCCCGGCAGAGCGGGCGCCTGGCGGGGGGCGGGGGGGGAGGCAGCGGCGGGAAAGCAAAGGGGAGAGGAAGGAGTGGCAGGAGGAAAGAAGGAAAAGGAATGGGGAGGAAGAGGAAGAGGGCCAGGAGGAAGAGGTAGCAGAACAAGCGGAGGCGGATCTCGAGAGGGGGGCAGAGGAGAAGGAAGGGCAACGAGGAGGCGGAGGGCGAGAATGGGCAGCAGCGCGGGGGGGCCGGCCCCAGCGAGTAGGTTTCGGCCCAGTCTTCGGCGCGGCCTTGCGGCGGCGGGCTGGCCGAGGCGGCGGCGGCGCAGCGGGCCCGACGGGCGGCGCCTAAGGAGCCGCTTGCGGCGGTGCCAGAGGAGCTGCCTGCGGCGGTGGGCTGGTTGAGCTAGCGGGCGCAGCGGCCTCCGCGGGCGGCGCTGGAGGAGTTGCCCGCGGAGGCGGCAGAGCGGCCGAGGCTGCGGGCGCCTCCCGAGGCCCAGCGGCGAAGGGGAGTCGTCGTCGTCGTCGTCGCCGCCGCCGTGGTCGCTCGTCGTCGTCGCCGTCGTCGTTGCGCTGCTGCTGTCGCTGCCGCTGCGCGTCGTCGTCGTCGGCGTCGTCGTCGTCGTCGTCGCGCCGCCGCTGTCGCCGCCGCCGTCGCCGGCGCGGTCGCCCCCCGCGACGGCGGAAGAGCTGACCGGAGCGGAAGAAGCGCCAGCAGCAGGGGCAGAAGAGTTGTCTGCGGCGCTGGGTGGACTTCGAGAGGGGGCGGTGCCCGAAGCGGAGAAGCCTTTTCCGACCTCCTCGTCGGCGGAAGCACCCTCAACCTCCTCGTCGCCGCCTTCGTCGGCGGAAGAGCACGCCAGGGCGCGCGGCTGCTGAGCGGCCCACCGCAGACCGATCCAGCGCCGAGGCTGTCGGATACGAGAGCGCTAGCGCCGCCGGGGCATCGAGGGATGCGGGAGAAAAAGCAAACCCGACACCTTGACCCAAATCGGCTTCGGGAGTGGCGATGGCGGCGATGATGACGATTATGATGATAATGATGACTGCCCAAGATTATTGTGGCGATGCTTATGACGATGGTGATTACTACCCAAGATGATGATGATGCGACGATGCCGATGTTGATGAGGATGGTGATGATGGTTATTGCCCATGATGGTGATGATGATGATGATGATGATGATGAAAGTGATGATGTGGAAGAGGCGTGGGAACGGCTTTGGGGGGGGACCTTCTCAGACAGCCCCACCGGGGCACTCCGCAAATGCAGGGAAGTTATAGCATTTCATTTAGTTTCCGAGGACAAGGGGGCTCATTTCATATGTATATATATATATATGTTTATATGTATATATGTATGTACATGCACATACATATACACATAATATATATATATACACATATATATATATATGTACACATACATACATACATACATACATACATGCAAAAACGCGTGCATACATGCATAGGTGCGTGCGCGTGCGTGTCCGATGCAGGGGGCGCCTGTCCCGCGGCGGCCGGGGCGTCGGCGCCCCCGCGGCGCCCCCGCTGGGGAAATCTGCTGTGCGCAGCGGGTTTCGCCCCACCGAGGGGCCCATTCCTCGATGCATGGCCGCCTCGGCGCCGGGAGGCTCCGTGAAAATCAGCTACGCGAGGCGATTCTCAATCCCCCCCTTTTGCTATCCCCCACCTTTTCGCCGGAACCGAAAGTCCGCCGTGGCGTCCTAGTCGTGGTTGGACTTGAACGGCGCCCCGGCGATCCCGCGGGCCGTTTTCGTTTCGATTTCGTTTTGCTGTAGAGGCGGATCGAAATCATAACAAAGGAAAGCGACATCAAAACGAAGACGAAAAACACGGCCCAGGTTCAGCCCTTTGGCAAAAATTCGGCGGACGGGCCGAGAGGGGGGTTAGGGGGAGAGGGCGGAGAGAAAAGGCCTTCTCAGAAGGCGGCGGGACTCCTCAGAAACCCTCGCGCCTTCTGAGAAACGCGCTACGTCATCGGGGAAGACGTCGACACTTTCGCAGAAGGCCCGAGACCTTCCGAGCCTTCTGAAAAAGGCCCGCCCCCCCTCACTTCCTTCGGACGGCCTCAGGACGAGGATAAATCCGTTCCATAGCGTTCCAGAGCGCTTTCAGAGAGTTCCCAAACGCTCTGAGAAGGCCGCCGCGCCCGAGGCATCTTGCAGAACCGCCGGAACCCAGACATTCCCGATCGTTCCTCATTTTTTTTGTTTCCGTCCTGGCTTAGTGCTGTTCCCCCCTGGGCTCGCCGCCGAGAAATGTTCCTCTCGGGTCGGCGGCGGGCTGGCCCTGCACATAGCGGCAGCCCAGGACGGGCAGAGGCCACGCCACGAACCCGAGCAGACCACGAGGCATCGCCGATGCATCATCGATGCGGTTCGATGTGGGGCTCGACTTGCTCCACGCCGAAGTCGCGGATGTATCGCGGACGTCGCCAGTGCATGGCCGATGCGTCGCCGCATCGGCGATGCATCGCCGATGTGTCGGCGATGCGGCGATATCTTCCGACACCACCTACTCCGACCCCAGGCCTCCAGTTGTGGATCCGAATTCTCAGGGATGCTGCTTCGCGTCTCGGATCGCTTTCGGGGCTCCTTGGGAACAGCGTGTGAGCGTTTCGGGAACCTCTTGGGGCCTCTTGGGGGGCTTTGGGGGCATCGTGGCGAATCTTGCGCGTAACGATCGTCAGCCGGGCCACCCGTAGAGATCAGATGGGAACCGGGGGCACGATAAGTTCGGGCGCAGCGTGGAGTTGGCTGGCCGACCCAGCCAAAACGGAAAATGTGGTAGCCTGGGCGTGGTTTTTGCAAAAAATGTTCGAGCTTTGAACATTCCTTTTGAGAATCGAAGTGTTCATTCCGTGTGGGTTCCCCCTCCCTTGGGGTAGCGGTGACGATCGCACGTGTGGGGGGCTGGACCCCTCCATTTGCTGGTTCTCGCGTGCACATCCATGGCGATCGCAGCGCACCCCCGCCCCGACGTGCCCCACCCCGCCTAGATTGCCCCCCCTGAAACGACCGTCGCCCGCCATACTGTTTGCTGTTATGTCGTTCGTCTCTGAAAGGATCTCCCGTCGGATTTCTCTTCTCGGTGGTACCGTGGTCGACGCCCGAGAGTTTCACCAGTCGGGATGATAGTTCGATGCCGTTTTCCGTGCGCGCCAGCCCCCCTTCCGAGGTGGACAGGGCGGGGCCCGACGGCCACACGTTCCGCGAGGCGCTGCGGGAGGGCAACGAGCAGGTGGCCCTGCGGGCCGCCAGGCTCCTGGATGTGGTCAGGACACAGGCGGGCAAGGCGCGGTCATGGGCTCACACAACGGGGTCAGCGCTGAAAGGAGGGTCAGCCAACCCACTCTGGTCAGTCTCGTTTAACCGACCCCATCCCCATCCACTTCGAGACCCCCACCAAAGTGCCCCCCCAGTTGGGGATACCCTCTCGAAACCCGAAGGGAACAGCCCATATCCCCATCCAGGGGGCAGTGGGGCCCAGGCCACGCCGCTGGGGAGGGGGATCGGAGAAACGATGCTCAGAACAGGGGGGTCAGCCCACCCCCTCTGGCCGACCCGGGCTGGGGCGCCACGCTGGGCCAGTGCCCCTCTCCTGCGCCCTCCGCCGACCCAGGCCTGGAGCAACCGGGCGGCCAGCCAGGCTCTGCGGTATGCGACAGGGCCCGTGGCCGACCTGGCTTTGTGCAGACCCGGGCCAGTGCGCCTCCGACTCGGGGCCGGGTATCGTCTAGCAGAAAGCGGCGCATATCGTAATGTTTCCTTGGCCTCTGGCTTTCCACGGGCCGTCTCTCGGGGCCCCACAGGGAACCCTAGTGGTTCCGGGGCGGAAACTTATTGTCTCTGAGGAATCAAATCAGAAACAGTTGCTTGAACGCACACTTCGGTAGCCATATTTGCTCAAGTACGCGAAATTACCTTCGCCCCCGCCTCTGGATGGCAAAGTTAGACAAGCTCTGTCTGTAGCATAGCACCCGTGATAAATCATGACCGACGTCACGGGCTCAGGCAAGAGGAGTCACAGCACTGTCAGCATCTCGCGGTATTCAGAACGTTCGACCACCGGCGTTTTGGACCGACTTCACAGTGCCGGATTCCAAACATGGGCTGATTCACCGGTCTCAACCAGGTCTTTTGCAGAACAAGTGTCAAGTTCAGGCACTTCAGACGACGATGTGTCGAGTCAGAGTCATGCGGGGTCCGGCATAGGCGCACTTAATGGCTGCAACGTTTTCGATGCGTCCCGAGTCACGAAGTTGGCGGAGTTGAACACTTCCTCGCGCTTCAGCATTCCTGGACGATTCATTGTTGTAGCTTTGAACAGCATGAGCTCAGCGTCCACAGAGATGGAGCCCAGGGTATTTTTTCCCACGGCCACAATTTGAGGTCAGGCCCGCATTTCTGGAGTGGTCGGAGAATGGCGCTGCGGCGTTCCTTTACTTCGCGCTTGGCGTGATCGTCCCTGTGCTGACGAGACATCGGCACGTTCAGTTGGAGCGGACGTTGAGAGTTGCAAACCGCTACGGAGAAGCTTAAGCGGGCATACTATTCCGTTATGCGAACATGTGTTTCTTTTGTCGTGTGGTAGTGACCTTTCGAATTCGGTATGCTTGCGCCCGTACTAATTTGGTTGCCCCGATTGTACGGTGATGACATTGCGGAGCAAATCCACATTGATTTTTGGATTGAGGTCAGCGTCTTCATTTGGCCCATCAGTATGTTCGTCATTGGACCTTCCAGGATTGAAGAGATTGGAACACAAGCAGTAGACGAAATTGTCGCAGGGGTCCATAAGGAGTTGGACGACATGGACACCGAGAGTATCAGGTGCGAAAGGGTGCTGAACATAGTCAAGGCGACCGATTGCTTACGTACTGGTGGACACCTTCCTGTGGAATTGCCTCGTGCACTTGGTAGTCGTTCGTGTCTCCATGCTCTTCTCGCTCGCAGCGGGATTCGGCTGTGTCGGAACTGTCCACTACACTGAAACCACTAGGAAGGGCGCAATGTTTTGCGGTGTGCTGCCAGCGGCTTGTGGCTGTGCTATTTTATACCGTTTAGGATGCATCAGCCAGACGTACAGTAACACAAGGCCTGGATCAGGTAACTTTGCGTCAATATTGATTCAGAAAATGGTTGAGCACGCATCCGAAGAATAGGATGAAGAACAAAGGGATGCTTTCAGCCAGTTATCGCTCAGAGAACGGACGCTGGGTGTAGAGTTGTTGGGCTCACGAAGAACACCTGCGCTGGCAGCAAACATTGCATGACGAACCTGCTTTTACATTTCGGCTGGGGTCGCTGTCATTGAAGGCATATGGAACAAGAAAGGTCAAATCGATGGTCAGAGCTGGGACTTCAACGAACGTCGGTGACTCCCGTGTTCGCTGTCTGCTCAAGTGCTTCCAGATCACGGCAGCGCAGGAAAATCATCCTCATCATCCTCATCATCTTCTCCCCCACCTTCATCATCGTCATCAGCAGTGGGGATTCGTGCAGATTCTGCCACACAGCGCATGACGTCATACTGCATGTCAGGAAATTTCTCTACACGGGTATCCGTGTACCTGTTCCTTCGTCGCTTTCTACAGGTGTTGATTCTCTGAGTCCGCTTGTGTTGCCGGATGCTACCGCCGTTCGCTTTGACTCACCAGCGCTCTGGACTGCGATCTGGGACTCCTTTTTGTGGTCCGTTTTTTTAAAGGCCGACGGGCAGTGGCTCGGGCAAGGAGATGCGCATCGCGCTTCGCGGCCTGGTCTGGAGACATCATTACCCTCCGACAGGGTGGCGGCGAAAATATATGAGTTTCGCGCTTGCGGCGCCTGCGACGAGTGATACCAGGTCAGACTCACTACACAAGCTTATGCCTGTAAGATGGTCGAAGCGGACTTGCATATAGCTTTTGTATCAAATGGGGGGCTTGCGCGCCACAGAGCCTCGGAAATTCGGGGGGCCCTGGGACACGATCTTATGTCCAGCAGCGTCGCCAGCTCTTTCAGGCAAACTTCCCTGGCCTACGTGCCGCCTCCCTGGACTTTCATCCTAGGCTGCCCCAAAGAGGGTCAGTGGTGGAACCTGGCTCGTAATTAAGATCTCGTCCCAATTGTTTTTGTTTACCCATAGCCCCTTCGTTTCTGGACTGGTTGGCTGACGTGAGAGTCTCTGGAACAAATGCTTGAACGCACACTGTCGGAGGTCCGCGCGGATGTCATGGGTTTCCGCTAGACCCCCCTTGTTGTGACTCTGGCGCCACCCCTGGCGCGCTCCGCTCGCCAGGTCGGGGGGGTCCAACCCCGACCCAAAAAATCCACGCGGACCAGCTTATGTTTATGCAGTTTGTTAATTCCCACAGCCACAGAGGGATAGTGAGGCTCGTGTTCCCAACCTCGCTGTGGTTTTGGGCCCCCATTTTGAATAGACAGCTTTCCGCGTTGCTCACTCCTCCTCCTCCTCCTCCCTCTGGTTCTGTTTCCCATGCCGACCAAGGTCAGTGACCTTTAGCAGGCTGCAAACATGCCTCATGCGAACAATTGGTGCGCAAGTTGTAACAATGAATACAGGACCACTAACTGATAACATATCGTAAATCATGGTTTACTATAACATTATGGCAGATATCATTATGATACCGGAGAAACGCCCCAATCAGGGCTATAGGGCTAGGGGGTTATAGGGCTATAGGGCTATTGAGCTGTAGGGCCATAGAGCTATAGGGCTACAGAGTTGTAGGGCTATAGGGCTATAGGGCACCCCAGGGCACGACCGGGCATGCCCGGGCACCCGGGCACCCCGGGGCACCCGGGCACCCGGGCGTGCGCCGAAAATCGGCGGCAAACCTAACCTAACCATATGAATCCAGTAGGACCCCTACAGAGGCAAGCTCTGATTGGGGAACATCGTGTAATTCGAGATGATATGATATAACATGCTATAGTGTATCACAGCATCCTGTACGTGAAAACATAGCAATGTAATGGAGTACGCTACATGTTAGCATGTAATACGATATGCTATACGACAAGATCGCATCATACCACATATAAAAGTACTACACATGAAAACAAGACAGGTGCCACCCGTCGTCGTCGTCCGTTGTCGTGGTCGTAGTCTTGGTCGTCGTCGTCGTTGTTGTCGTTGTCGTTGTCGTTGACGTCGTCATCGTCGTCATTGTCTTCGTGGTTGTCATTCGTCGTCGTTATTGTCATCGTCGTTGTCGTCGTAGTCGCCGTCGTCGTTGTCGTTGTCGTCGTTGTCCTCGTCGTCGTCGTGGTCGTGGTATTCGTCGTCGTCATTTGATGCCGTTGTTGTCGTCGATCACCGCTGTACCCCACAATTCTTTGTTGGTGAATAGGGGATATCATTCCTTCAATTCACCTTGCCCCTGCCGTGGAAGCGATGGCAGGAAATCGTCGGGCCCCCCCGCGCGCCGTTTTGACGGACCCCCTGTATCTTTGTGGCCAGAATGCGTCAGGAGTTTGTGGCATCGGGTCTTTGTTTCAGTCGTCCACCCCGTCGCGAACCGCCGTGCGCTCGGGGAGCACGCCCGCATCGGCCGGCCGTCCCGTGTTTCTATGGACCCACCCTGGGCCGGAGGGGGTCCGGGAAGGGCCCTTTTGGGCAAGTGGGATTCTCATTTGCCCAAGCGGACCCAAGTCGGTCAACAAAGGTGTTGTTCTAAGAAAAACACATTTGTTGACCGACTGCCTCGGGGAAGGGTCTTGCTGTGCATTCTGCTAGGGTTGATTTGTCATCTTCGTCTCCTGCGGGCGACCTCTGAGGAACAGGGGTGGTTCTGACGGCCGCCTTCCCTATATCGGGTGTTGCTGGGATTGCCTCTGGCCCAAGGTGCCCCCAGCTTCTCGCTCCATTTTGGGGCCTCTGGGTCCCTCTGGGCCTCGTGAGGGGTGCTCTGGAGGCCGTCTCGGCCACCCCTAGAATCCTGGGGGGCACCTTGGGCCAGGGGTGCTTCTATCAACGCCCGACCTGATCCGCACAAGCAGAGCAGCACCAGCACCCCGTCCCGTTCCCACAGCCCCGCACCCGACCCCTCCCCCCCGTCCCAAGGACAAGGAGAGGGCAGGGGACCAGGGCAGACGCAGGAGCAACCTTCGTGCCAGCACGCAGACGCTGCGACAGTGCGAGTACTGCCCCCGCGTCTGTGGGTTCGTGACAGTTCGTAGTGCGATGTGCTACGGGTGCGGTCATGGATGCGGCGTACGAGCCGAGACCGCCAGGTCCTTCACTTCGAGCACCACTTGCGATCCAGTCTTTCACGGGGCACAGTTCCTCGAACGGCGGGCGCCCTTGCGGGACGAATTTGCCTGCAACGACAGAGGAGGGAGTTGATTTGTATCATTTGAGTCAAGCTGTCCGTCCGGGTACACCGCTGAGCCTTCAGCCAGAATCCGGCAAGTGCCGCACACCAGTGGAAGACGCTTATCGGGCCATCGAATCTACACACAGCCACACCGCTTCTGGCCAAGTCGATCCCGAGCCCAAAATTGGTGCATCTGCTTCCCTGTCCAAGTCCAAGCCAGGGTGGCGTAACGTTATACGCAGCGCTCCTGGGCCCAGGATGGGCGGTGGATGTCCGCAGACCTCGTCAACCTGGCTGGTCGCCCATGTCCTTGGAGACCACACGCGACTTAGCGCCGATGCCATCCTCCCTCCTCTCTCTCGCCCGCTCCCTCGTGCGACACCCACTGGAGCGGGCAGGCGGGCGTAGGACCCCTCTGCGAGCCCCTCGCGAGGCCGTGGCCGTGGTGACCCACAAGGGCTTCCTGCGCGAGCTCAACCGGGGCCCGCTGAGGGACTTCCTGGACAAGGACTGCCGGGGGCAGCGTCCAGGGGGCAACGGCTTCGGGGGGGGAGGCAGCGACCGCCCACTCGCCCACGGAGCGCCGATGGGGGCCCGACGGGCCCGCTCGGACCCGGGGCGGAGCGGCTTCGCCGTCGGGCGCCCGTCGCCGATCTATCGGCGATGTATCGCCGATTCCAGGTCGATTGTTCCCCCCCTCTGTGCCACCCCCCCATAACGGTGCCCCCCACGGTCGGCGGCACGTGGGAGTGACCTTTCGCCGGAGTGACCTCTGGTGCGGGAGCACTGGGGCCCCCAGGTGCCTGAATGCGATGCGATAGCAGCGGCTTTCGCGCTCGGGTTTGGCACCCCCGCGCCCCCCGTTTCGCCGCGCACCGCAGGTCACTCTTGCTTAGGGTCACTCTTGTTGCGTGTAGCCGACACAGGACAGCGGACAGCTGCCCATACTGTTCGGCAACGCCGAGGTGCGCGTCTGCGAGGTGGCCTGGGACGAGCATGGCCACCTGGAGGAGGTCGTCGCGAGGACCCTCGAGGAGGTCGCCGACGCGCCCCCGATGGAGATGTGGCACAAGAGCTCGTGGCGCGGTGACGGCACCTCGTCGTGGACGGGAGGCCTGGCCCGCCTGATCAGCGGCGGGAGCTTCGACGTCGTCGAGGACCTGGCAGAGGTCGCGGGCGGGGGCCTCCGCGCGGGCGCCGGCACCTCCGCGGAGGAGAGCTCGGGGCCTGCCGAGGCCGCCGCCACGGCCTGGAGGGCCATGGAGGAGCGACTCGGCGGGCCGCCCTCGGTCGCGCTGGTCTTCTGCGACCAGGCCATGGAGGGGGCCGAGGTTCGGTGGTTCAAAAATGGGGTCCTGAGGGATGGGGGCCTCAGGACGAGGTGCCTCACACAATGTTAAGTCACCCCTGGACCCCTTCCTATCCTTAGGACCCCACCTCTCAGGACCCCATCTTTGAACCACCGAGAGGTGGCGCGCGGGCTCCGTCCGCTGGCCGGCGCCGCCTTCGTCGTGGGCGGATCCTCCTGCGGCGGGGTGCTCTCGGCCAGGGGGCCCCACGAGGTCGGGGTGCTCGGCCTCCGCAACTTCGCGCACAGGTGCAGCGTCGGCAGCGTGGAGGACGTCACCGACGGGGGCGCCCGCAGGCACGCCGCCCGCGCGGTGGCGGAGGCCGCTGGGGGCCTGGCCCCCCACCTGGTGCTCGTCTGCTCGTGCCCGGGCTCCGAGGAGGACGTCCTGGCGGGTCATCCCGCCCTCCCTCTCTCCTTGCCGCCTCCCCCTCGCCCCTCCTCCTGCTCCCTCCCTCCTCCCCGCCTCCTCCCTCGTCCTCTCTCCTCCCTCCTCGTCAACTCGCTTCTCGATCTGTCGAACCATGTCCGAACTCCCTCCCTCCTTCCCCCCTCTCTCCCTCTGTATCCTCCTCCCTCGCGTCGCACGATCTGGAGCACGGCCTTCTCCGCCCCGACGTTCCCGACCTATCGTCCGTGCGTCGGCGATGCGGTGCGATCTGCCGACCCCGCATGCTCTGCCCACATCGGGGCGGCCGCCAGAGAAGGACGGGCTTGCGGGCTCTGCCGCGGTGTCCTGCTCCCGCCATGGCAGGGCAGGAAGGGGTCCTGGAGGTCTCTCGCCGTCTCGGGGCTTCCGGAGGATGGATTATGGTTGATTCTCTCTCTCTCTCTCTCTTTTTTTTTTTTCTCTCTCTCTCTCTCTCTCTCTGACTGTAAGATCTTTATTTACGTGTTTCTCTCTCTCTCTCTCTCTTTCTCTCTCATTCTCTCTCTCTCTCTCTCTCTCTCTCTCTCCCTTCCACTACTCTTGTGCGGGCGCCTTCGCCGAGTCGCATCAGAGCGGCAGCGGCAGCGGAGCCGTGCGGGAGCAGGCGAAATGCCGACCTCGCCCGAGCGCTGCGCAGTCTGTGAGCGAAAGTGGCAAAGCCGTGTCAGCGCAGCGCGTGATTCGTCTTCGTCGCGCAAGTCCAAGCTTCGTGTCCACTTCGCTCAGGAAGGGCGGTCCAGCGCGAGCGCGGCGCATGGATCGTTCGCTGAGTCGCGTGAAAACGACAGCGGCCGCGGTTTTGCGCGAGCGCGCGACATGCCGACCTCGCCCAGGCGCCGCGCAGCTTGTGAGTGAAAGTGGCAATGCTGTGTCAACGCGGCGCATGCTTCTTCTTCGCCTCGCTCCTCGGAAGTGCTGCATCGTCTGCCCTTGCGCGGCCGCGCAGAGTTCTGTTCGCGATGTCGTGCGAAGCGGGGCCGCGTGCGAGCGCTTTCCGCTCGCGAGATCGGAGCGCGCTCCAGTTTCAGGCTGCGCCACAACACGTTCTTCTGGTACGAGAGGGAGGGTGGAAATGGGCGGGACCCTGTGACTCGCTCGACTTGGCTGAGCTGTTTCCTGATATTTTCTTGATCCGTGTATACCCCTACAGTCGGCCTTGATGAGTAGGGCGACCCTACCAAATCGAGGGTACCCTTGTGTCTTGTGTTTCGCGACTTATGCCTTCCTCATTCCTATGGCAACGTGGCCCTCGTAAGTGCCTTGTGTCCTCTCTCGTGTCCTCTCCAGTCGAGTCCGACTGTAATTACTCTGCCGCCTATTGGCCGACAGGGGTGGGCTGGGCGCACATCCTGCGCGAAAGATCGAAACACGGCTCTCCGCCTGGCGCCGCGCTCTCTCTCCCAAAAAAAGTTGAGCTCTCGGCGGGGTTCGGCGCACATCTTTGCACGCAGATTCGTCGACGCTCGAGCGGACGGAAGTGTCGCTCTCGCCTCGGCGCCGCGCACATCTCGCCTGAAAGTGGCGCTCCCGCCTCGACGCATACCTGCAACTCGTCAATGTTTGGGTGGACCCACGCGAATGGGAGACTTGTCGCGCTGGCCCAAATTCCGTGCCCACTTCGCTCAGGAATCGCGATCCAGCGCAAGCGCGTCGCATGGATCGTTCGCTGAGTCGCGTGAAAACGACAGCGGCCGCGGTTTTGCGCGAGAGCGCCCGAAATGCCGACCTCGCCCAGGCGCCGCGCAGCTTGTGAGTGTAAGCGGCAAAGCTGCTTGAGCGCGGCGCATGTTTCTTCTTAGCCTCGCCCATCGGAAGGGTTGCCTCTTCCGCCCTTGAGCGGCCCGCGTAGATTCCAGTTCGCGAAGTCGTCGGAAGCGGAGCTGCGCGCGAGCGCCTTCCGTTTGCGAGGTGGGAGCGCGTTCGAATCCCGATACGTACCAAGTTGTGCCACATTTGAGTTTTTATTTTCTGGGGGGGGAGGGTGGTAATCGACGGGACCTTCTGATTCGTTCGACCTGGCTATCTTGATTCCTACTCCTTTATCGTGCTCCTCATGTACCATGTGTCCCCCCTCGTCGTTTTCCACCTTCTCCACCTCACCCTCTCGGCATCGACGATGCCGTGGGCCCCGTGCCGGTTTTCGGCTGGTCGTCGGGCGGGGCCCTGGACGCCCCAGACGAGGAGCACTGGTGGCAGCTCGTCGGCTCCATGGCCGGCTGGCGGTCCCTCTCCCGCGGGGCCGTTTTCGCTTGCCTGTGGATCTTCGTCGAGGAGCAATGGGCGGCGCAAGTCAGGGGAGGGAAAGGCACCGTCCTCGCTGCCGTTGCCCCGCTTTCGCCCTATCGTCCTCCTGGGTGGCCTTCGTCGCCAGGGCCGAGTGCGCCCCCGGAGAGGTCCCCGGGGAGCAGCGGTCTTAGGGGGCCACAAGCGAACCCTACCCCTACCCCCCACGATTTCTGAGGGGGGGGCGAGGGCTCGCGTATGGCCCCCTAGGTGTCGGTACATCTTGTGGTCTCCCCGATGAGCGTGCATCTGCGGAGGTCCCCAGATCCCCGATGGTCTCGGGCCCGGAGCGCTGCCCTCTTCCAGCCGTCGGGCGTGGCGCAGCGGGGGGCGATAAACAGAGGAGGAAGGCAGGCGTGCCTCTCGTGCAGCGTGGGGGGCCCGGAAGGGGCGCAAACGGGGCAAGAAGGGTGCATTTCCTGCTTCGCCCCTCATTGTCAGCCACGCGTAGAGGCGGGGTGGGGGGAGGGGGGCGGGCTTTAGGGCCGTCGCCTTCTGAGAAGCAGGCCCTTTCTAAGGCCCCCCCTCCCTCCATTCCTTTGTGCTCGCCGTCAACATCCATCGCCCCCCATTCGTCGTCGTCGTCGTCGTCGTCGCCGGCGGCGGCGGCGGCGTTGGCGTCGGCGTCGGCGTCGGGTCGGCGTCGGTGTCGGCGTGGGCGTTGGCGTGGTCGGCGTCGGTGTCGTCGTCGTCGGCGTCGGCGTCGGTGTCGGCGTCGGTGTCGTCGTCGGCGTCGGCGTCGTCGTCGTCGGCGCTGGCGCCAGCGTCGTCGGCGTCGACGTCGTCGTCGTCGCCGGCGTTGGCGCCGGCGTTGGCGCCGGCGTTGGCGTCGTTGGTGTCGTTGGCGTTGGTGGAGTCGGCGTCGGTGCCGCCGTCAGCCGTTGTCAGCAACACCCAAAGCTGATCTGGGAGCGTGGCGGGCCGCCGCTGGGCCTGGCCCAGGGCTCCTGTGGCAGCGGGCCCTTCTTGGCGAAGCCCCTTCGAGGGACGTCAGCGGACCACCTGGGCCCCCTAGGAGGATAGGAGGAGGAGGAGGAGGAGGAGGAGGAGGAGGAAGAGAAGAGGAGGAGGAGGAGGAGGAGAAAAGGAGAAAGAAGGAAGAGGAAGAGGAGGAGAAGGAGAAGGAGGAGGAGGAGAAGGAGGAGTAGGAGGAGAAGGGAAAAAAACAGGAGGTGTGCAGTCAAGACGCTGAAGTAAGGCACAGTTTGGGCTCGGAAGGGGCCCGATGTTCCTTAGGTCCTTCCCTGGTTGTTCCTCTAGCCCTCCTTGTGCACGAGGCACTTTTGGGGCCAAAAAGGGGGATCGTTTCTTGATGCATCGTTCCTTACTTCAGCAGCCAGGCTGTAGGTGGGCCCCAGGTGGTCGGCCGACGTCCCCCAAAGGGGCACCGACAAGTCGTTTGAGGCGGGTCCGCGTAGTGCTTCCCTCCGCCAAGATGCATGACGGCAGGGAGGCTGGGAATGGGTGGGGCCCTCTGACTCGCTCGGCCTGGCCTGGCTGGGCCCATCCTGGTCCCAGGTAGGGGGCCACATGCGAACCCTACCCCAACGCCCCCCCTCAGAAATCGTGGGGGGTAGGGGGTAGGGGGTAGGGGTAGGGTTCCCATGTGGCCCCCTACCAGGGTCGGCGTCGAAAGTCTCCCCGCCTTGACATGCAACATCCAGAAAAGGAGGTCAGTGCGGAGGTCTGTCGACGTTTTCGCCCTTACGGGGCCCCTGGGCCGTCCAGGAATGACCCCGGATGAACAGCGGGTCCCGGGCAAAGGGTTGAGATTTCTGGGGACCGCGTACTTGGGGAAAGGGTTGGGATTTCTGGGGACCGCGTAATTTGTGGAACAACAGGACATCGCATGCCTGGGCTGGCCAGGCCAGGAAGCGTTCACACCGATCCTGGGCCTAAGACGGGCTGGGCCAGGATCGGTGTGGTGGTCGGGTGACGTTCACCGACCATCGCGGCGCCTCCAGCGCCGCCCCTGGTGCGGGCCCATATCCGACCCAAGAAATCCGCACGAGCCTCCCGAAGTGAATGTTCTGTGCCGTCCTTTGCTCCTCGATTTTCGCTGACGCCCGCGCGTCCTCCTTGCTGTCCCACTGCTTCTCGCCCACGGAGCAGAAGGGGCGCATAACGCAGGCCCACGGTCGCTTCATCGTGGAGATAAACGGGCTCCCTGCCGCGGCGGTCCTGAACGAGTGGGCGGGGGGTGCGCTCCAGAACAAGGTGGCTGGTGGCTGCGTGATGCGGGAGCGCTTCTTCGGCTTTTTCTCCGGCTGCTGACTCTCCTTCTGGTCCCCGTCCCTAGCCCTTCTCTTCTCCTGCCCCGCCACTATCCTCCTCGAGCTGTTGCTTTTGCTCCTTCAGATTCCCCTGAACCTTCGAAGGTCGTTCGTGCTTCTGATTGGGTCACCCGCCGTGCGAGCGGCGGACAGTTTTCCCTTATCCAAACTTAGGATTCCTAAGATGGGGTTCTTGTGATTAGAGAGATGCCTCCGCCTCTTCCTTCTCACCTCACGCATCCTCCCATCTTTTCACTTACACTCAGAGGCACTCACACTCAGACTCACTCACAGACAGAGCACTCAGCTTAGACATCAGGCTCACTCTCACTCAGGCTTTCGCACACCCAGACCACCCTCACACACAGACACACTCACATACAGATCACACTGCAGGCGTTGCCCCCTCTGCACCTCCTGAAAAGAACAAGGCGCAGGTATCGCCCGTCCGCCGCTGCACTAGTGCAGGCACCGCGGGCATGCTCGGGTGTTCATCAGCACGCAGGCGCCGCGCACGGTGCGGCGTGCCCAACAGCTGGGCACAGGCATCGCCTGGGCATCTTGACGCGATCGCAGGCACCGCGGGCGTTGTTTTTCAAGGGCGCAGGCATGCCACCTCGTTTGGGGTGATAAGTTGTGAAATCGTAAACGGCGAGGGGGGTTGGGGTTGCACATCTCTGGCACTACGCCGAAGGCAGTGCCCCAAGCGGGGTTGCGCCGCCCGGCGCGGGAGGGGGCGTTGGTGCGTGGGCATCGCCGGAGACGATGACGCGCCGCGCGAGTTGTGTTTGGGTTCTGGTAGAAATCGCCCGTTCTGGTAGGATTCGTGCGGTGATGTGGCTTAATCCAGAGACGCGGGATACAATGGGATTGAACAGTATCTTATTTTGAATGTGCGATGCAGTGGTGCGATGTAGCATGCCTTCATGTATATGGCCGTGCACATACAGGGAGTTCAAACAAACTAGGCTGGCATGCCCGACTTCAGCCTCGCGGGCCTACTCTAAGATCATATGGTCTAAAAACCTCGTGTTGTTTCATGCCTTGCGGCCATCGCGCGGGTGATGCTCGAAAACCGAGCTTGAAACTCTGTCACGGCGATAACGTTGTGCTGGTGGTCGTGCTGGTGGTTGCGCTGGGGGGTTGTACTGGGGGAGTGTGTTTTGGATTGTGCTGGGTTGTTGTGCTGGGGGGGTTGGGTTGTGATGGGGGTTGTGCAGTGCTGGGGGGGGGTGCAGTGCGGTTGTGGTGGGGGGCGACGGTGAGGGATGTGCTGCGGGGTTGTACTGGGGGGTCGTGCTGGGGAGTTTTGCTGGGGGGTTGTGCTGGGGTCGTGTTGGGTGGTAGCACAGGGGTGTTATGCTGGGGGGTTGTGTTGGGGGGGTTGTGCTGGGGGGTTGTGCTGGGGGGGTTGTGTGAAGGGGGTTGTGCTGGGGGGGTGTGTTGGGGGGGGGTGTGCGGGGGGGTTGTGTTGGGGGGTTGTGCTGGGTGTGTGTGCGTGTGTGTGTATGTGTGCTAAGAAGTTGTGCTGGGTGGTTGGTCTGGGGGTCGTGCTGGGAGTCTGTGCTGGCTGGGGGTCATTTTCCTATTCGTTTCCAATACGTTTCCGGGAAGCCTTTCCGAAGCTCCTTCGAAGCCCTTCCTGGTCTCTGGTCTCCTGTGAAGCTCCATTTCTCGAGCTGGCAAGCTTCCCAAACGCCCTGTCTAGCGTCCTTGCCAGCGTCTCCCACAGACGTTTCACGTCACGCGCTTTGGATTGCCCGCGATTAGGGTTTTGGACGCCCATCACACAATCCCCAAAGCCCCCCAGCCCAGACCCCCAACACAACCCCGAAGCACCCCCCAGCACAACGACCCCAACACAAACCCCAGCACAACCCTCCAGCACAACCCCCCAGTTCACACCCCCCAGCACCCCCCCCTGCACACACACACACACACACAACACGACTCCCCAGCACAACCCCTTAGCACCCCCCCCAGTGAACACCCCCAGCAAACCCTTCAGCACAATTCCACTGCACAACCCCCCAGCACAGCCCCAAGCACATGTCCCCGCACAGACCCTCATCACGACCCCTCTTCACGATCCCCCAGCACAACCCCCCAGCACAACCCCTCGGCACACACACACACACACCCACGCACACACGCACACACGCACACACGCACACACGCACACGCGCACACACGCACACACGCCCACGCACACACGCACACACGGACACACGCACACACACACACACACACACACACACACACACACACACACGCACACACACACACACGCAATCACGCACGCACACACACACACATACACACACACCTGCACAACCCCCTGCACAACCCCCCAGCTGAGGTCCCCCTTGCATACACACCCAGCACCATTCCCGAGCACAAACCCAGCACACCCCCCAGCACGACCTCCCAGCATTCCCCCCCCAGCACAACCCCCCAACACAACCCCCGAGCACAACCCGCCAGCACAACCCCGAGCACAACTCCCAGCACAACCCCCTAGCACAACCCCCCAGGACAACCCCCCATCACATACCACCATCACATCACCCCGGCATACCTCCGAAGCACAACCCCCCAGCACACACACCCAGCACAATCCCCAGCACACGCAGCCCCCTGCACAACCCCCCAGCACACACACACACACACATACCCAGCACAACCCCCCAGCACAACCCCCAGCACAGCCCCTCAGCACCTCCCCCCCAAACACCACCCCATCGCACAAGTCCGCAGTACGACCCCGCAGCACATGCCCCAGCACAACCCGCCAGCACAACTTCCCAGCACGACCCCCCAGCACACACCCCCAGCACAAACCCCCAGCACACCCCCAGCACACCCCCCAGCACTACCCCCCCAGCACAACCCCCAGCACACCCCCAGCACAACCCCCCAGCACGACCCCCAAGCACAACCCCCAGCACAACCCCCCAGCATAGCCCCTCCCCCTTCGCAACCCCCCAGCACGACCCCCAGCACAACCCCCAGCACAGACCCCCAGCCCACCCCCCCAGCACGACCCCACAGCACAACCCCCCAGCATTACCCCGCAGCACAGCCCCACCGCTCAACCCCCCAGCACAGCCCCCCTGAACAACCCCTCGGCACATCCCCCCCAGCATAACCCCCCAGCACAATTCCCCAGCACAAAACCCCAACACGATCCCTCAGCACAACCCCCCAGCGCAGACCCCAGCACACACACCCAGCACACACACCCATCACACCCCACGAGCATAAATCTCCGGCGTGCCCCCCAGCACGACCTCCCAGCACGACCCCCCAGCACAATCCCCAGCACGACCTCCCAGCACATCCTCCCATCATCTTCATCACCACCACTCCGTGGTGGTGATGTTGACGATGATGGTGGTGATGATGATGGTAATGACGAGGATGACGACGATTGTGGTGTTGATGCGGATGCCAACGTTCATGTTGATGTTGATAGGGGGTGGTGATGGTGATGGCTGTGCTCATGATGCTGTTGATGCCGCTGCTGCTGTTGTTATTGGTACTGCTGCTGCTTATGGCGATGCTGGCCATGGTGAGGATCATGATTATCATATTGATCGCCATGATGATGGCGATAATGATGGCGACGATGGAATGAGCATGGTGACGATGATCGTGATGGGCTGATGATGATGGTGATGATGACGGTGATCATGCTCATGACGCTGATAATGTTGACGGTGATGATGGTAATGATGACGGTGATGATGATGATGATGATGATGATGATGATGATGATGATGATGATGATGATGATGATGATGATGATGATGATGATGATGATGATGATGATGATAAGGTTGATGATGTTGATGATGATGATGTTGATGTTGTTGTTGATGATTTAATCGCTTCGCTCATTCCGCCGGCCCATATTGTCGCACCGTTGTGGGCTAGCCGAGTTTTGGGGGCCGTTTTGGGGCCTCTTGGGGCCTCTTTTGGGCCTCTTGGGCGCCTCTTGGGGCGTCTTGGGGGCCTCTTGGGGGCCTCTTGGGGCCTTTTTGGGGCCTCCTGGGCGCCTTCTGGGGCGGAGGGCTCGATTTTTCAGTTCTCGGTTCCCCTCTTGAGCCCCTCTTGGGCCCGTCTTGGGGCCTCTTGGTCCGTCTTGGGCCGTCTTGGGAGCTTCGTGGGCCGTCTTGGAGCGGTCTTGGGGGCCTCTTGGGCCGTCTTGGAGCGTCCGGAAGCCGAAAAAGCCAGAACACAAAAAACATCGAAAAAACCAATGAAAATCAACGATTTTGGCCTCTTGGGGCTCTCTTCGGAGGCCTCTTGGAAGGCTCTTGGGGCGTCTTGGAGGCCTCTTGGGCTGTCTTGGGGGCCTTTTGGGCCGTCTTGGGGTCATCTTCGGCGTCTTCGAGCGCTCTTTGGGCGTCTCGGGGGCCTCTTGGGCAGTCTTGGGGGCCTCTTGGGGCACTCTTGGCGCGCTCAGGGCGGCCTGAGAGGCCGCACCCAGAAGGAAAACCATCTCTGAGTTGAACCGGGCGGGACCTTGCCAGGCGGCGGGCGGGGTACTTTTCGCCGGGGGACCCCCAGGGGCCGCCCCGCGCGCGCGAACTAGTACAATACAATTGTTAACCAGTTACCGGAGATCTTAGCACGCCTCTGGCCCGTTGGGCCGGCGAATTATGATGACGATGATGTTGATGACGACCGGGCGCCAGAGAAGTGAGGAGGATGAGGATGAGGGGCGAGGGGTGATGATGCTTGGAAACAATCGTGCCGCCTAAGTCAGTCCCATAACATTGACATGTCCGAGGCAAGCAGGCACGACGCCGATCATCACAACATACTCCAGATTTCGTAATAAAAGGGAGGGGGTGTGGACCCTCCAAGACAAGCCATTTCAGACCTCCCCCGTGGGAGAACCATCCAAAACATCGTCCCCAGACCCCCCCAGGCCCTCCAAGATAGCCTGGAAGAGACCCCCCCCCGAAATGAGACCCCCTCCCTTTATTACGAAAT